AATTATTTATTTAATAATTTATATAGTAATAAAATAAATTATTAAAGAATTTTTACGATAAATAAATTGTTAAGAACCAAAAAATGACGGAAATGATGGAACACTATTCATTTTGTGCATTTTTTGTGTTTTGGGTTGGAAATGATTTTCAATTTGGTGCAAGATATGTAACAAAACAGTGCAAAACTTATCCCAAATTTTGATGCAATCATTGGAGATGGCAATGCCGATTTCACCAGATATTTTCTCATGTTCCGAAAAACTATTTTGATAATTGGTTACACTTAGGACTTTCAAGAAATTATCTTAGTTTAGTATAAACAATATGTTACGTACTACATTTTTTTAACTTAGTTTCGTTCTCCAAAACTTGCTATCCATCCAATGAATGATTGACATATCATTTTAAATTAACATATTTAACTTTTCTCCCATTGCAACTTGTGCTTAAAATTAGATAACACTTTAATGTAAAATGATGTGTCAAACATTCATTGGTGAACATCAAATTGAACAACAGATCTTAAGTTACATTTTTTCATCAAGCTCAAAATATTATAGTTTAATACATTGTATTTGTAATTTTAACCTCTAAGGTAATGTTTTAGTTTTTGAAAATTGAACAGTTGTATGAATTATTAAGTACTTACTATATTTATGATTTTAGATATTTGGTATGCATTATTTTTTGTATTTTATAGCTTTAAAATAAATAAAATACTAGTAAAAATAAGAAAGCATCTTATTATGCTCAGGCCCGCCTAGGTTTGAATAGCTTAAATTTTGACCTCCTTATTCATTCACTCTTTATGTTAACACAAAAAACTAAGAAAAATGTTATACTGAGCGATGAAAAATAATTTATGTAGCAGAGAGATTAATGTAAGAGATCGTCTTTGGACATGTTCGAAAATCAAAGCTCTAAAATATGAGTTTTCAAAATTTAAAAATGGTTATTTTGGATTTTAATAAATTTCAAAAACACTTCGAACAAAAATAAATAAATGTGGGGGTAGTCTTTACAAGCTTTTCCATTTATAGAGGGCTTTAAGCTTTCACAAGAAATTAACAAGCCAAAAAGATGTTTATTGGGAACAATACGTAACCCAGGCTTTTAGTATACACCAATGACTTGTGCTCATGATGCTGTGACCTGTGACCTATGACCTGTGTATATGAATATGTAACATATAACCTGTGACCTATGCAAACGAATATGTGACCTGTGACATGTGCACATGAATATGTGATCTATGACCTTAACTATGCGTCTTGTGCACACAAATCAATGACATTCGAACTTTACAATACGACTTATAACAATTGAATCCTATTGTACTACTTAACGATGATTCTAAACATATATGCTTATGACACTATGTTCTAGATCCTATCGGGAATGAACTGAAGACAAAAGGTGGACAAATGATATCATCTGTATCGTTAAATTTCTTTCTAAAACAAAAAAATGTACCAGAAATACTAAGTGAAATCCTATTTGTGAATTAGTTATAAATCCTAGCACATGTCATTGTACATATATACTTGTTTCTTGGTTTTTAACCTATATAAAACAAATCTTGAAATACAACAACATCAGCCTCGTCCACTTGCTTATTATGCTTGTAAGAATGACAACACCATCTGAATGCTACTTTTTTTCTTGCACCGGTAACATATAGAGGCTGTAGTATCCTTGTAGGCTTGGAAGCTCTCTAAACTGGAAGTTTAGACGTCGATGCGGAAGAAGGAGATCCCTACATAATGGAAAATAGTGAAGGTGTTGAATACATGATATGATAGATTTGTACCTGTGCAGACAGTGTATGACATGTGAACACAAAGATGTTACCTGTACACAAATATATATGATCTGTGACATGTACATACAAATATGTGATAATGACACGTGCACATGAATCTTTTATCTATGACTTCTGCACACAAATTCATAATCTACAAAATATATGTATGTAAATGGATCTATAATACTGCCTGCTCTTGAATTTTGGTTTGCTTCATCACGCCAACTTAATCATCAATTCTAGTATCATTCACCACATTAGCTATAATAGCATCAACCTACTGCTATACTCCTTTGGATGTAAATATATCAAGCAGGTCGATCACGCTTGAAGTGATTTGAGTTGATGCACCCCCAAATCAAAAGATAGGGTCAGAGGAAAGTATGGATATTCAATTTTGTCACAAGGTCCATCTTACCATTGCCTTCCTTGTCGATTGTATGTTCAAACCTAAATGTAACACAAAAATTAATTGGCAATGTGAAACACGGACAATAAAAAAAGTTTGCACTTTTAGAAGTACTATTTTCTCCTGCTTTTCTACAACTCTAGCACTTCTCTTCATTTTTCTCATTGATTTTTTTTTTCAATATTGCATCCATCATATCTGATATCAAAATAGTCACAAAATCGGACAAAAAGGTCATGCTTGACCTTATGTCCACCATGTCTGATCTAATATCACTTTGTATGCGGATAATCTGATCTATCTTATTATTCCGATCTCCCTTTAACGATGATAACTATGACTTGACATCATTGAGTGCACAGTCAAATCAGTAGTCTTCCATTGGACTTTAGAGATTTGGCCCCTAAACTCCCTCTTCAACTGGTCAAGTACCTGTAATTGAACAATACAAATTCCCTCACTAAACATGACTTCTAAAGTAAATATATAACAACCTACATCTTATTGTGGCGCATCATCTGCATGTGTTGCTTGCAGCTTGATTGGGACATGTACATCAGGTGCCTGCGGCTCCGTCAGATTATATTTTTGTGTTGCCTGCTATTCAGCTAGAAAATGGAAATAAGTGGATGTCTTTTACCTTTTTGGTGGTGTATCAACGAAATCATCAATGTCGTCATCCTTAACATCAATTGAATGACCTTTTCATCCATTGGTAATCATTAGCAAATGTGTCCATTGGTGGTATGTGTCGTTGCATTGATTTCTTGTATGGAGCAGCAATCATATATGGAGTCGCCATCTAAAGGTTAGATGGATCGATATCATGGACATGAATCTTTGATCATGATATTATTGAATCACTTATTAGTCATGTAATCATACATTGATTATTAGTGATTGTGACCTAAACGCATTAAGTGTTATTATTGTGATGAGATAGTGAATATCATGAAATCATGCATGTGACTTAAGCTTCGTGTATGTGATCAGTGAATATATGTGAATCATTTGAAATCTGACTACATGCTGTGATCTGCATTTTATTTGTGAGCAATATGTATGTAATTTGTAACCTTCAAACTATGTAATATGTCTTGTGATCGGGGATCTATGACAACTATATGAAATTGGTGTTTTGTACACTACCAAACTATATTTATTAGTAAAGTATTTAAACACTTACATCATAATAGGAGAAGACATCTTCATCCAATTTAACAGTAGATGGTTGTTTAACCAACATCTGGTTCATAAAGCGGGAGTACACATTCTCTATGCGATTGGTCACAGGTCTATTTAAAGCCAGGAATGGACTCATAAATCCAAACTTGAAATGCAACTAAAAACCTTTTCAATCTATAGTGGTGATTTCTATGACTCGAACCTCTTTCAGAGATTTTATAGACATCTCAAATAAATCCTTACCCAGAAAAACATTTCCATCACGTCAAAATCTCCCGTCAAACCAAATAAATAGTTTTCAACAACCTTTTTGTAGGATGTAGAGAACAAGTAAAAGGTAATGAAATATAGGATCCCAAGCATCACAACATTATGATCATCTACATTTAACACATTCTGGAATACATCTCACACATCTTCATTTGTAACTAGTTTCAAATCCCTAAAATGCGTTTCCTTAATCCTAGATAGAATGTTTTCGAGCCTTTTTCCTGATATCCTTACCAGTATATCTAAGATCTATGACTAAACAGAACTCACACAATGAAGGTCACATACATCCATTTGTAACCTTGAACCACATCTCATTAGGATTTGATTGCTTCATCTCCCCCAACAAAAAAAGTAATGTATCAGTTAGGACTGCACAACAATTTCGTGGCATTCCATGTAGTACGATAAACATGTGTTTCTTAGAATAGCCCTTTGATCATTAATGAATTTTGATTTGAAATTTGACAAAACATTATTGGTCACACTGATGTAAGCCATAGGTCTTTGAGGATGATATATTTCCATTCCTTCAAAATATTACAAAAAATGTAAATAGATTTCGAATATCTTGTACGTGTAGACACACATATCTAATATACAACACATAAAACTATGTAAGAACAAGGTCAAAACCATGTCACAAACTCAACATAGTTCATAGAATTTGACACAAACTCTTCACTTTACACACATTATAGTCAACAAAATTGGTCACATTCTCTTAACATTGTACACACGATCATCTAACAGATTACACATAGTACTATCTAACAACCATATAAAAAACATGTCACATTCTAATACAATTTGTAGAATCAACCTCAATCTCTTCATAGTTCAAATACCCTAGTCACAACCCATGTCACGAACTCAACATATTTTGTAAAAATTGGTCTTAAGGTTGTAACAATCTCTTCACAGTACACATAATTGTCATGCCGATCATACTAATAAAAATAGTAAGTCACAACTGAGCATTTCCCTACCAACAAAACACTATGGAATTCATACTTAGTAAACAAAATTGAAAAATGAATTACCCATATGCTCAAGGGACTATAAAGAACAGTTACGTTCTTCTATTTATGTTTTTGCGAGTCAGTCGGACTTTTGGGGATTTCTTCATGAACTCTCTTTGTGACTTTTGGTCTTCTACTATTACGTTGTTTACTTTTAGATGCATCACCAACTTTGGGTTGTGATCTCTGATCACAACTCTTTGTTTTCAGAATTTTTCAAAAGTTTCGATCACAATATTTGTCACCATCTTCGTTCTTCTTGACTCGCATATGAAATGGTGGTGGTTTTGTCAATTGTGCTTAGGTACAATGTATGTAATGGGACAAACCGTTCAAAAGCTGCTTGAATGTGGGATTTGGGTAAGTATCAATTTGGGTTGATTGATTGTGCGAGAGTGTGTTCGATAGTTTAGCGGTTTTTAGAGATATTGTTTCTTATTTGAAAATTTTCTCTCTAGTTTTAACATAAAAGGCAGTAGTGGTTATAGTGAATATATATTTATTTTTTAAATCATATTAATTAGTTAATTATGACCTGATTTCTGTATTATGAAATTCTTGATTTATGAAAATATAAGCTTTTCAATTTATTTGGTACCATGGATTGGAATGGCTAGATATGATTAACGAAGAGACCATGTGAGATAGTTGGTCATTGTTCAATTCAGCTCAACACCATAACCATGCCTAAATATCTTTTGAAGTATTTAAAGAATTGTAGCACCTTGACACAAGGTACTTTATCTTCTTATAGTTGGTATTAAATAGAGTGAAACCTAATGAAATTGTTCTCCACTTAACCACAAATTGACATAATCATGGGAATAGTGGGTGCTAATCATTTTTTTTTCTGGGTTCAACATGTCGATGTTATTGACATGCATCTAGTATATACAAAGGACCTTGAGGGAATGCAATTTTACTTAAGTAGATGTAGCATTCACGTTGAGAATCAATCATATTTATTCTTCCTCTCATAAGTTGGGATTAGACGTGTAAAGAAATTTCATAATGCTGGACCAACCAAAATAAGTGATCGAATCCTTGACCTGTTTAGGTAGAAATGGGGCCAATAATTAAGAAAGAAAATACCAAATTCTTTTGTTATTTAAAATATATTTTTCTTACACAATATATTCTGTTGTTTGTAGTCGTGAAGGGAAAAAAAAAGCAACAGCACAAGCGTTTCTCTGAAGCCACAAGCCACGATGCAGAGTGGATGTAAAGCCAGACTAACCACATGTTTAGATATTAATGGAATATGGCAAATTAACAAAGTACTTTTCGATCACAATCATAGAACAAGTCCTTCAAAGTCTAGATTGTATCGATGCAATGGAGAATTAAGTACACAGGTGAAACGTCGACTTGAAGTAAATCACGTTGTAGGAGTATTGCTTTACAAAAGTTTCAACTCCATGGTTTTTGAAGCAGGTGGATATGAAAACATACTTTTTGACTATGGAAGCACGGTGCTCAGGGTTTTACTTCAGTATTGATTTGGACGAAGAGTTGCGCATGAAAAATATTTTCTGGGCAAATGAGAGAAGTCGACAGGTATGATATGCCATTTTACTTCACATTTGATACCACATATCTAATGAACAAGTATGATATGCCGTTTGCTCCTTTTGTTGCAGTGAACCATCATGGACAGTTGACACTCCTCGGACATAGGCTCATATCAAACAAGGATACTGATTCATTTGTGTGGATTTTTAGACATGGCTACAGTGCATTAATAGCCAAGCTCCCAATGGGATAATTACCGATCAAGATAGGGCAATACAGAACATAATTCAGATCGTGTTTTCTAATACGAAGCACAGGTGGTGTTTGTGGCATATATTGAAAAAATTGCCGCAGAAGTTTGAATTTCATGTTGATAAAACTTCGATCTTTTCCACTATACATGGATTAGTTTATGATTCTCAATTTATTGAAGAATTTGAAAAGGGTTGGCTAGAGATGATAGAAACATATAATTTGCAGGACAATGAATGGTTGTTAGGTCTTTACGAGAATAGATCTCATTGGGTTCCTTGCTATTTGAGAACCACTTTTTGGGCAATGATGTCAACAAGTCAAAGAAGTGAGAGTATGAATGCATTTTTTGATGGATATGTTCATTTGAAGACCTTGTTAAAGTAATTTGTTGAACAATATGAATGAGCATTGAGATATAAGGTTGAGAAAGATTTCCAAGCAGATTTCAAGTCTTTCTCACAAATGGTACATTTTGAAACTACGTGTGAAATAGAGAAGCAATTCCAAGTAGTGTACACGATATCGAAATTCGAGGAAGTTCAAGAAGAGTTCGCTACAAAGTTTATTGCAACCTCGTACCTGTTAATGAAGGATGTTTGGGGATGACATAGAAGGTACATGAAGATGTCATGCACGATCATCATTGCAAGAAAAAAAACATTCTTCGTGTCATTATCGAATGACAAAAGTGAAATTATTTGTAGCTGCCACTTGTTTGAGTTTCGTGGAATTCTATGTAGGCATGTGATCACAGTACTGATGCGCAATAGCGTTCAATCTCTGCCGAATAAATATATTTTACAAAGATGATGAAGAGATGTTATCAGATCCCACATGAGGGTTGCTGTGAACTACGTCGGGTTGGTTAGTACCCCAGTACAGTTGATGTACGACAAGATGGTTAAATCGTTTGCTACATTGGAAAACCTCACTTGTGATGATGATGCAAAATCTGGTTCCATATTAAAATGGATCGAATCTTAGTGTAAACAAATGGCCACATTGACGTTAGGTTGTGGGAGTACTGCTATGTCCAATACTACTCGTTTACCATCGGAAGATGTAGCAGCGGACGATATGGGTAGTAGATGCATTAGCATTCGAGATCCAAAATGTACAAAGAGAAATGGCGCACTAAAAAAACTTCGGAAGAAGTCCCTGTTAGAATATAGTTCAAATAAAGTGAAGGTATGTTGCATTATTTGGGTACCATATTATTATTCTTTTGTCTCTTTTTACCATGTTGGAATAAGAATAAAGTTCATGTTTCAAACATTATGATACAGGTGGGTAGCAGTACAAACAAAGGAAAGAACCCCAAAGGCCACCAAAGTAACCTCGGAGATGGTGCAATTGTTTTTCAGACAACCCACCATCATAATATTCAATGCCAATACCGTTGTCATACTCACAGCTCCTAATGTTTAGTACATTTACAATATTACATTTCCTTTATGCAGAAGAATATGATTGATAAGTTATATCATCTTCAATGGAGGGTGCAAACCAGAGCATTGGGTTTTCACAACACTTACAATCGTCATCTTCGATCCTCCCCGATGGTCAAGATAATGATCGGGTTTGTTTTAAATAGTTGACATTACATCGTACATTATGGGTTGCATAATAATTGTTATGGTGTACAGCATGTCATACAATGCCCTACTACATTCCATATTTTTTGGACAACAATGATGATATCCCATGACATTGGAATAACGAATATGGAAATGTGATAAGGTACATACAAATTTGATCTTCATTGTTCTTTTATTTTGTAGTTGGACAACAATGGTGCTAATCCAATTTTATTGGTGCATTCTATATTGCAGCTAATCCATTCTATGTTGCAGCTAGCATAGTATTTCGGAATGGCTCAAGAAACACGGATGTTTTGGTTGCATTGGGAACTTCATCCTCATAAGCGCCCACAAAATTTTTGTCCACTTATGAGTTATTCGAATTTTATTTTTTTTATCGATTTAGTGGGAAGGGGAAATTATTTTGATCCTCAGTTTCACATCCTGTGATATTCTCATTTTATGTATAACTTTGAGATTTTATTGATATATGTTATTTTTGTGGACTTTTGGTCCTTTGTTGGTATATAGATTTTCTAAATGCTAATAAAGATTAAGTTTCTGATTATTTTAGGTACATTTTGTATATTTTGTGAAATATTTGATAATGCTTCTTTTCATAATTTGCGAGATTTTTTTCCTTGAACTGTCGTACACATTAAATTAACAATCTATTTCTAGGGCAATGCACCGAACTTGTACGCCCGTCTAAAAAGCTCTATTTGTTCAATCCATAGCCACTCACAATCAAATCACCAAGCTCTATTCTCGCAATCTTGTGTCAAGAAGACCAGAATTGTACAAATTCCTTAATCACAAGAAAACCTTACATTTCTGGACCCCTGATTCAATAAATAAAAGCCTTGTACTAAAGAAATTTGGGCATGACAGATTAAATGTTTAACCATAGAAAAAAGAGAGCCTAGTTTTAAATCATAGTGTCATAGAATACGAATGCAACTACTACCATATACACATCGGAAATAAAATCTTAATACAAAAACTACAATTACAAAACAAAATTACTTCCCTACTAGATTCCAAAGAAACTACTACATCCAACAAATGCATAAGTAAAAATAAGGTCATTACATTTAACTATTACAACACAGTCATGCCCATTGCCTCTCTTATCTCCATTTGTATTTGCTCTTCCTTCGTGTATTGTCATGTTGAAAGAAATATTCACATCTCGTTGATCAGATAATGGGCATCGTGATTGAAACGTGGCAAATAGTTCTTGATGAGTTTGTTTCACTCATGAATTATGCACAATTTTAGCTTGATTAATTGCTAGATCTTGTGAGTATAGAACATTTTTGATGTGTTTATTAGTGTTGTTTTGAAGATTGAGAATGGCGATGCAAAAAGAGGTACTAAAGCTGACGAAGAGACCAAAAATAAAGAAATTGGGGCAGAAAGACAGTGCTTAGGCACTGCATTCAGCGCTGCGAAATACAAAAAAATGAAATTTGAACCCGAGAGGCAACGCCTAAGCGCTACAATTATAGCTCCTAGACACGACCCTTAGGCTCTGACTTCTAACGCTTAGGCGCTGCGCAGGGATTGTTTAGGGCGCATTTTAGGGCCATTTTGAAGTCCGTAAAAACCCTACTTTCTACACAAACGGATGAGGCACCTATAAATACATCTTTCTCACACTTTTCGAGGGATTTCGCTTCACAGATTGAGAGGCAAGATAACATAATTGGAGAATAAAAAAAGAAGAAGAATTCAATAGGAGAACAAGCAATTCAAGGGTTGAAGCATAAATTGGAAGGGGAAGAAGATTTTGGTGCCAGATTGATTTCTTACTCTACATTCTTATTCAAAACTCGGTGATGTCTTCCATAATAACTTCTTGTTTTTCTTTCAATACTATGAGTAGCTAATCTGATTTTAGGGCAAACAATGTAACTGATTTGCGAACCTTTATTTCTTTTATTTGAGATTCTCGTTCGTTATAATTTTATGTGTGGATTTTAATTAAGTTATTAATACTTTGAATTTTTTGGCCAATTATTCAATGATTTTGTGAACAATAATTGCGTAGAAATGCAGATTCTTGTTTAGACCACGTATTAAAATCCGGTAAATTAATATAACGTGTAGAGATACCTATATTAATTGCTGCGATCCTATATAAATTCTTGGAACTATTATTTGGTTTAAATAATGTTGATTCGCATAGAGATATGAAATTGATTTATTCAAATAAGCTCAATGAGAACTCGAGAGGGGTAAATTGAATACCGTAGAAGAATTAGACTGAACACTAGTTTAGATTTTATGAATCTCGATATTAGAAGTAAAGGAGACCAATAGGTGATGTTATTCCGCCCTAATACCCATTTATTATTTGAATTCGCACTCATTTTTTGTTGTACTCACAAACTTTTAAGTAGTTAGAATAAAAATCACTTTTAATCATTGTTCTCGTTTATTTTCGTCAAATAGAAGCTAGAAATAATAAATTGAGTATTAAGGTATAGTACTCGTGGGAACGATAATCCGGACTCAAAAGGTCCACTTTACTACTTGTTACGATCCGTACACTTGCGGGATAAAAATTGACAATAAGTTTTTGGCGCCGTTACCGAGGACTATTTTCTTTAATATTGGTTTATTTATTTCTTACTTCTATTTGATTATTTTTCTTTTTTTCCCCTTTCTTTTCTTTTTCCTTGTTTGTTCAATTGGATTTTTTTTTTTTTGGCTTGCTCCATTGACAGGAAATGAGAAGAAGTAAGAGGTCGAATTTCATAATGATTAATTCCGACTTGAATGAAGATTACATGCTCTTTGGAGAATTCCTAGTCAGACAAGAACTTAAAAGGTGGGGATATGATCAGCCTATCGAATTTGGTAAGGATGGTTGGCCGAAGGGATTAAACATCAAATCAGATCAGACTAACATGTGAATACTATGGTGCATCTCATTATACTAAAAATTGCTCGTATTTGGCGGCTCCAATGGAAGTGAGAGAACGTTATCCATATGAAGAATATTTTGATTACAATGAAATAAATACTGGAGACATCATCATTCAAAGATGTAAAAAGATTGAAGATCAATTAACTCTGGACGAGCCAAATAACATGCCAACGGAGGATCTCTTCATCATTCAACCTGAGGAATTAACGACTAAAGATGTAGAACAGGTGGAAATCGAGGAATTAGTCATGAAGGAGCCAGATGAATTAGTTGCATTCAATGAAGATGGGATCAGCGTGCAAACTTCAAACTTCATTGAATTTGTGATTAAGGATGATGAAAAGATTGCATTATATTTGATTGAGTTCAAAAAAGACAATTTAGGTAGGTCATATCGTATTCAAAAGGTAAATGTACGAGTTTGGAAAATGTACGAGATATGGAACAAAGTCATATTAAGCAAGCTAAGCAGGAGCTCCAAAGCCATATTCAAAGTGCCATGAAGACTTGTGCAAAGTCTAGCTAATGACTTAAAAGAAGTGCTTCTTGGGAGGCAACTCAAGCTTTCTTTTTGTTTTATTTATTTTATTTCAAGTTATAAGATAGTTTAGTTTATTTATTAGTCTATTTAGGAGACATCACCCATATCCTGTTTACCCTTAGGTCATTGAGTAATTAAGTTGGTTATTAGATATTTGAGCTAAGTAACCCTTGTTCCATGAGTTTAATTTCTCAAATTTAATTTTTCAGGAACATGACGTCGTGGAACACTCAAACCAACATGGACATGAAGAAAATGGTACAAATCCAAAGTTTGGGGGAGAATGTGGAAAAAGAGTCGATCAAATGCAATACAAAGACACCACAACATCATAGGAAATACTGACATTTCAGGGAAGTCCTCCTTTTCCTTTAAATTTAACATTGAGGATAGTGTTTAGTTTAAGTTTGGAGGAGTGTATTATTATTAATTTCCTACCTGAAATTTTTTTTAGTTGGACATTTTGGGTTACAATTACGTTTTACTTTGAGATTTGGTGTTGATTTATGAACTGTGGATATGATGCATACTAGATTGATTGAAATTTAACCTTGCAAAACTTGATATTATAAGTGCACCAGAATTGAGTTTGACACTGTGATGAAACGAGTTGATTCATTTGTTAGATATGTTGATTTAATTGGATATAGATGCTTTACCTAAACCATAGTAAGTTATTTATCCTTAAACCAAAGTTAGCATATTTTTGGGGTGACTTTACAGCTGTAGAAAGATGCGGATGTGAATTTGGATTCCATATGTAAAAACTTATATACGGATTGTCTTTGGCTAACATGATAAAACTAGGTGAGAGTCTTAAGTTAGAGGTCGATTTGTTTGAATAAGTGTGTGATAAGGGGCATTGCACTAATCAAGGCATATACATTTGAAAATTTTAATCTTTTCTCTGAAACCTTTATGACTTGAG